ATCTGGCTTTCCCATTGACGTTGCTTGTCAGAAGGTTGCTGGAAGGTCACTGCAACTGACATTAGAATAGAAATAGAATAGAATAGAAAATATGGATTGGAATGGAATGGAATAGAATAGAATCAGAATAGAATAGAAAATGTGGAGTGGAGTGGAGTGGAATAGAATAGAATAGAATAGAATAGAATAGAATAGAATAGAATAGAATAGAATAGAATAGAAAATATGGAATGGAATGGAATGGAATAGAAAACATGGAATAGAATGGAATGGGATGGAATAGAATAGAATAGAAAATATGGAATGGAGTGGAATAGAATAGAAAACATGGAATAGAATGGAATGGGATGGAATAGAATAGAAAATATGGAATGGAACGGAATGGGATGGAAAATATGGAATGGAATGGAATGGAATGGAATAGAATAGAATAGAATAGAATAGAATAGAATAGAACAACAGAGTTTGAAGGGACCTTGGAGGTCTTCTAGTCCAACCGGAGGTAGTATTCAACAGGTTCTGACCAGTTCTGGAGAACCGGTAGCAGAAATTTTGAGTAGTTCAAAGAACCCGCAAATCCCACCCCTGACTGGAGATTTTACAGAATCCTTCCCCTGCCACGCCCACCAAGCCACGCCCACAGAACCAGTAGTAAAAAAAAATGGAATCCCACCACTGAGTCACATGATTGCAGAGAGACTTCAACCATTGGAACTTCACATCCAGATCATAAAACCCAAAGGGAGGTGTCTGTTGTAACTTTGAATGGTCCTTAAGCAACCGGTCGTAAATTGAGGACTACCTGTATTGCTTTTTAGACTTAGACTTAGAATAACTTTATCGTCCCTTTAAATGTACACTCATTAGCATGCATTAAAATGAAATTTCATTGCATACAGCTCTCAAAGGGTCTCCACCTCCAATATACACAATATATATAAACATTAATAAATAAATAGATAAGCATATATGAGGGCACCATGATCCGTGGTGGTGCAGCAATTAGAGTGCAGTACTACAGCCGACTTCTGCTGACTGCCAGCTGACTGCAATTTGGCATTTCGATTCTCACCAGGCTTAAGGTTGACTCGGCCTTCCATCCTTCCGAGGTGGGTAAAATGAGGGCCCAGATTGTTGGGGGCCACAGGCTGACTCTGTAAACCGCTTAGAGAGGGCTGTGAAACACGTAAAGCGGTATATAAGTCTAAGTGCTATTGCTATACCCACATATATTATATGACACAGAGAAACAACAGTCTAGTTTGGATGTATACATGTATATGGCAAGAAAAAACGAATCTTGCACGTTTAGTGGATGGATGGCCTTGGGAACAAAGCTATTACAGGATCTGGTACTCCTGCTATAGCTGCTTCGAAACCTCCCCCCAGGGGTTTTAGTGAGCTTTGTAATCTGGATCTGCCCATCCAGGATCATTTCATCCTCTGTTTTCAACTGCTTTTAATGCTGGAAGGGAATGAGCCCGTGGTGGGATTCAAATTTTTTTTACTACCGGTTCTGTGGGCATGGCTTGGTGGGCATGGCTTGGTGGGCGTGGCAGGGGAAGGATATTACAAAATCTCCATTCCCACAGCACTCCAGGGGGAAGATTACTGCAAAAACCCATTTCCTCCTCACCCCACTAACCTGCTTTCCAGCTCCGTTCTCCTGTGCAGGGCAACAAAAGAAGACCTAGCCGATCAGCTGGGATTTCGGAGGCAGAGAATAGATGGGGCGGAGCCAGTCAGAGGTGGTATTTGCTGGTTCTCCAAACTACTCCAAATATTCTGCTACTGCTTCTCCAGAACTGGTCAGAACCTGCTGAATCTGGGATGAACGCATTCATGTCCACATCTGTACAGTTTTGTGTGAATAAGAGTCAGATTGTGTCTCCTTGGTGATTGATCTGCCCCTTGGCAGCAACAGCAGCTGTTCGCCCTAATAAAACAAAATTATTTCTCGCCTTATCCAATCTGGTTTAGCCCACCAGTCCTGCTGTTATTAAAAAGCCACAAGAAGATTCCCCACCCCTCCAAGGAAAGTATTTTTGAAAAGCCAAGTTGAAGCTAGCCAGGGTGCATTGCTGAGGTTTGACACCTGCTAAATTTAGTGCTCAGGGTTACAGATCAGGAAAACAGGTCAGAGAAATATGATGGGGCTTATATGTGTTAGGGTTGACAGCAGCTTTCAGCTCAGACATAAATATAACTTCTTCTATTTTTCCTGATTTTTTGAATTGGAGGATTGAATGGAATATTTTTCATAGACAAATTGTGATTAATATTGAAATACTTTTTGTTAAACTTTTTTTTCAGGCACAATAATACCAAATCCTGTCTGAACATCTGACTGCGCATCAAACCATAATAATGATTTTTATTATTAAAAAATAAAAAAAATGTAAGGCAACAACTTACAACCAGATCAAGAAAAGAAACTGAAGGCTTGATATTGGTTGTGCAAGAGTAAGCTGTGCAAATCAATGCCATCAAAGCCAGAACTGAAAATAATTGTCAAATGATTCAAAGTACAGATTGTGCAAAGAAGCAGAAGAAACAGTACCTCAGCTTGTGCAAGAAGATTGCACAAAGTGATTCTAAACAACCAGTACATAGTTGCCGAAAAATGATTTACTGGAACATCTGTAAAAAAATATCATGTGCCAGTAATAAAAAATGGTGAGAAGATAAGTGTTAAAAAAAGTAGTTGAGAATGAGCAGGTTAAAATATGAAATTTCCAAATTTAAGCACCACCAGATAATACACCAGATATAATTAACTGAAAATAATTGATGGATAATTGATGTGGCAGTACCAAGGGACAGGGTCACTCTAGATAGGGGAGTATCCATCTTTAATTATCTGAAAAATCGTTAAAATCAAGTAATTTACATTTCCATGAATTAGTCAAACCCATGGTTAAACTTAATCACAATGTACTTATGTCATATGGATCTCAGTGCTCAGTTTCACACAAGCAATAAAACATTAGTTGTCTGAACATCACACTTACTTACAGTGACGTTATGTTTAACAATAACCCCAGGTTTTTATGTTGCTAGTTTTTTATTTAGTTTATTGCACTTGGATATTGCCCAGTTCCCACCAACTCTGGTGTTGCTGCGACCCACTGAACCATAAACTACATTGAACTACAGGTAGCCAACCCTAGTTTACCAATAAAGGAGAACCATGGTTTAGTATAACAAGTATGCAGAATAAATGAAAGGCTAGGCTTAGGAATTATGGGGACTCCTTGATTTATGACCAGTTTTGTTTAACAACTGCGGTGTTTTGCTTTACAACCATGGCATTTGCAACTGTGTTCTCTTAACAACCGTTCCAAAAAATATCCTAAAATTGGTCAGGATCACATGGTGACCTGCTTAATGAGTGTGGTGACATGACCATAATTGCAGGCTCTATTATGGGCTATTGAAAGGTATCAAAATGCCTTTCTTTCGAGGATTCGATTTTCCCGCTGGGAGAGCTCCGGCGCAAGGATACGGACAACTGCTTGAAAGCTGGATTTTTTTATTTTTCAGGAAGGCGGAGAACAGCAAGAAGTCTGCGTTCCTGGGCTAGCTAGCTTCTTATGGTAAGTCCCTGGTTTTTTATACCCTTTACTCCCTTTGTAAGTTGATTTTTTGTGAGTGTTTGTATTTGTGCCTAATGTTTCAAATCCTGTTTGAATTTGTCTTTATTTCCACCGGAGGGCGAACTCCGCGGGGTGGCCAGATTGTATTATTGGTTTTCTGTAATCTCTTTTAGCTTTAAGATAGTTTTTCATATTTGTTCTGTGGCAATCTCCTTTCTGTCCCTTTTGTAATTTATATTTTGTGTCTTTTGTCTATTCGTTTTGCTTATTTGGTATGTCCTGTGTTTGTAAGGGTTTTCTAAATTATCTTTTGTTTCCTTTTTGTTGTTATGATTATTTTGTTGTCTTGTTTTTTTGTTGCCTTGTACACCACTCTGACTCATGACCTATATGCGTCATGGGCGGCTTTCTGACTTTTCCAAATAACTGAATAAATAAAATAAAATAAGAATACAAGTGTGCTCTCTCCTTTTGTGAATACTTAGCATAATCCGGATTTTGTTTAACCTTTTGTGGGACCTTAACCACTGACTTTGGGAAGCCATCATTCATGGTTTAGTGCAGGGGTGTCCAACCATGGTCACTTTGTCTTGAGAACTTCAACTCCCAGAATTCCCCTGCCTGTCAAACTGGCTGGGGAATTCTGGGAGTTGAAGTACACAAGTCTCAAAGTGGCTATGTTGGACATCCCTGGTTTAGTGTATTGTACACAGTTAACTGTTGTTTGTTCCATAAACTGCAGTTAAGGATTTCCAGACTTAGCATGATGTGTGAACAATGTTTCTTTCCCATCTCAATTGGGCTGCTGTAACACACTGAGCCATAAAGATGGTAGTTTGGCTTTGGCTTTAGTGCATTGTGTGAACTCAACTAATAGTGGCTAGTTTGATTAAACTGTAGTTCAACTAGTACTGTGAACACAGCGCTCCTGTTTTCCGTCCAAACGAGTTGATCATCCAGACCCCATATTGCTAATTCTACTGGCCACAGGATTAATCCAGAGGGCACAAGGTTGGAGAAGGCATCTCAGGCCCGGCGGCCTCCCCCACCCCCCGTCGCCATGACAACCCCTCCATCTACAGTCGTGCATTCCACCCCCACCTCCCGACCGGCATTCCCCTGCGCTCCGCCTCTCTCGGTCGAGTCCCTCCCCCTTCCCGCCCTCTTCCAATCACCGCCCTCTCCTCCGGGCGGGGTAACCGCCTCAAAGGTCCCTTTGAGCCAATCAGAGAAGGAGGGAGGCGAAGGCAGAGTGAAAAAAAAAAGAACCAGCGGGGAAGGGAGGGGGAGTCTCGTCGCCGACTGGCGGCTGCCGCTCCGCCTTTTTTTTTCTTTTTAAATGTCGCGCGCGCATGCGCGAGGGAGGAGCCGGTTGAGCGTCAATGAGGGCGCTGGGGAGGGAAAGGGGGGGGGAGGTAAACAAAATGGCGGTGGCTTGTTAGTTGCGGCTGCAGGAAGGCAAGGAGAGGGCGACGTTGGTTTGACGTTGGGGAAGGAAGGGGACCAAGTAGCCCACCCACCGCTGCCCCCGGGTGAGGAGGCGACTACGTTTCCCCCGTAGGCTCGGTGGAGGGAAGCATACCGAGAAGAGCGGCTCCCTTTCCCAGGTCTTGCCTGCCTCGTCTTGTCCGTCTCTCAGATGAGTGAGACGTCGCGGCCTTCTCTTTCTTGAAGTGGGGGGAGAAGCCTTTAAGGGAAGGCCCCCACATTGGGGAGAAGCCCGTCCCTGTCGTGGCGTTCAGGCGAGTGAGTGACAGGGAGGTCGCGGGGTTTATTTGGGAAAGGTGGGCGGTGTGCTAAGGGGAGAGGTGGAAGCCTAAGAGGGAAAAGAAGGGTGTTTTTTTTTTTTTAGTGGTCTGTGAGTTGAGCCCCCTTAATTTGAGGGAAAAAGAGATCCTTCTTAGCAGGGAAATATTTTCACTATTCTGTGTGTGCAGAATAGAGGAAATCTACAACTATCCCCCTTTTTTTTCTTTTTTTTGTGGGATATGCCTATTAATGACCTTTCTTGAATGAGCCAAATCTTTCCCTGGAAATAGAAAAGTATAACGAAAAAAACCTGACGGTTTCTTTCTGAATGAGATGGATAGCAATGAGCAGTCATGGAAAAAAAAAAGCACCAAATTGTTATTTTTACATGCTCCGTTTTAAGAATTCCTTCAGTGGACCTCTCTTTCGCAGGCAGATAAAAGTATTATAAGTCTTGAATGCTATTGCTATTATAAATTTTCTCAAGGGTTTGGTTTTTTTTTTTGTAACAAAATGGGCATTCTTCTTTAGAGGAGGTCTTTTAGAGTTAAGTGTGCATTTGGGATATAAGGAACTTTGCGTTGATGATTTCCACGGCATCCAATCAATTGTAAAGAAAGTCATTAATTGAATTGTTATTTTTGTAGAGGGCAGTTATATTTCCTGCTAAGTTGGGTTATAGCAAAAAGGGATATCTCGCTGCCTTAAACTTGGGGAAAGGTAAGCCCTGTTTAAGGGCATTTTTAGTATTAATATTGATCTAATTGGTGGGGGTAACAGGCCTATTGAGGTCATTTTTTAAATATTAAGTTTAAAAAGAGTGTGTGTGACAGAGGGAGCTTATTATGTCCAATAACAAGAAAGGCTAGAACCAGGTTTTAATAAATAAATTGAAGTGTGCTTACTGAAGTTGAATTTCTGAATTGATGGTTTAAAATATAGATTTTTGCCAAATTAAAAAAAAAACGTAGTTCTTTCCCTTTTCCAGGGAACTTACTTAATCTGAAGAAGTATTATTCAAGATATCTTAATCACATCCAGCCCCATTTATGGTGGGTTTGTAGTACTGGGAAAACTGGGTAAGGTTTGCATTGCCTGCCTGCCTGCCTGCCTACCTTGATATCTGAAGCAGTGGGGTGACACATCATGTGTCAGGTAGACCCCAGGTGGTTGAAGGATGCCCTTTACTAGATACAGAAGGCCTCGAACCTTTGTCAAGGGTGAAAAAGCAGCAGTTAAAATCAGTATTGAAAATTCCTTTAAAGAGACTTGGTTTCAGCTTCCCAACGGCTGAAAAGATCCTTCACACAAGTTGTACCTGGGTGGCGAGAGCAGAAGTCGCGTCTCGATTTTCCACATCACATCATTTGGAAACAGGAACTGTCATTTCTTGCTCAGCAATGGCACACCCCTAAAAAATAGCAGTTTTGATGTTTTGATTTCAAACGTGGATAGTCTTTTGAAGATGACTTAGGTCTCAAGGAAAAAATAATAATTTGGACTTACTAAGGAAGACAAACTGATTTCAAGTACTTGGAGTAGCAGGACAAGATCAAAAAGTTAAAGCTAAGTGTAAATTGAGCAAACAGCTGTATTGATTTCTTCCCCCCTACGCACACACTTTAAAAAGAGGCACTGTAAGTTGTTATGTGGTGCTGGATCTGTGTAGGATCCCTCTAAGTTGATGGAAAAGTTCTCATAGATTTTTATTTTTCATTTTAAGTTAAAACTGTACAGCCTTTTGGAAAATTCTTATTTGCCTCCACTGAAACTTTTTTCCCCCCAGTCAAAGATTTGGGGCACAAAAGAGTATTTATAACACAGTTTTGGTTAGGGGAAAAAACCCAAGATGGATCTGGAGGAGCCTCAGCAGTTGGGCCTGTTTGTGGAAGGTGAATTGATGTCAGTGGGCATGGACACGTTCATCCACCGAATTGATTCTACACAAGTGATCTACCAGCCTCGGCGGAAAAGGGCCAAACTCATAGGCAAATATCTGATGGGGGACCTGCTTGGGGAAGGGTCTTACGGCAAGGTCAAAGAGATGCTGGATTCTGAAACTCTCTGTAGAAGAGCTGTCAAAATCCTTAAGAAGAAGAAGCTGCGACGGATCCCCAATGGAGAAGCTAATGTTAAAAAGTAAGTGTTTGCGTGTATGTTACAAATACTTGCTGAGTATTTCTTAACGTGTTACATTTGTAAACATTCGTACCTACAAATGTGAATGAGAGAAAAAACTGATGCCAGAGAACTTTGTATAGATGTTCCGTGGGCCCTGTGAAATAGCTATTAGAGGTAGGGGTTGGGGGGAAGCAATTATTAGTTTGTGGTTATTGGTGTTAGATTTTTTTTTCTTTGTTATTCAGAAAGATTTCTGAGACATTAAATATTAACATCTGTCAGTCACATCTTGTGAGTCTCTAAAATGGGAGGAAAGATTATGGATAAGAAAGGGATGCCAGAAGACATTATTGCCTAGCATTCCAATAACAGTTAAATATTTAATTTATTTACTCTTGATTTTTATTCACCTCATTTTTAATAATAAGGTGGCAAATATATATAATACTGTTGCCGCCTCCTGTTTTCCCAACAACAATCCTGTGCGGTGGGTTGGACTGAGAGAAAGTGACTGGCCTAAGATTACCCAGCTAGCTTTCATGCCTAAGTCGGGACTAGAACTCATCCCCTAGTTTCTAGACCAGTATCTTCCCTACTACACCACACTGGCTCTACATGCCGCATCTCCGTTCGGTTGGATGCATGCAGTTCCCTAATGGTGTTAAAGTTCACATATGAAATTACCATGTTCCAAATTAAAATTTGAAAATAGAAATGATTTTCTGTTCCCACGTTCATCTCTTTTTAAAAAGGCAGCGTTTTACTATTACAGAAGTCTTGTGGCTTGATCATGGAAGAGTGATCGCCCTCAACTTTTTCCAATTTTACTTTCCAATGCTGTCTGTTTGATACATCCTGAATAAATAAATTCTAGCTTTTCCACTGATAACCAGAAATAACACCAGGAAATGAGAGGACTGACAATGTGCATTTGTTTAGCATATCAAACCTGTGTAATTTTACATTGTTCTAAAATTATTGCTTTTTATTGGATTTGATTTATTAGTTTTATGACTGTCATGTTGAACTAACCCATAACTGTAAATAGTACAAATGAACCTAAAAATACAATATATCCAATTCAAACATAAGGTTAATAGTATAAATCTCAGCCTTAGCCTATGTACTAGGAAGTTATAATTCAGAGACATCCCAGCAGTTGGAATTGGTTTTAAAGGTAATTCTTGATTTATGACCACAATTGAGCCCAAAATTTCTGTTGCTAAGTGAAACATTTGTTAAGTGAATTTTGCCCTGTTTTATAACCTTCCTTGCCACAGTTGTTAAATGAATTTCCACTGCAGTTGTTAAGTTAGTATCATGGTTGTTAAGTGAACCTGGCTTCCCCATTCACTTTGCTTGTCAGAAAGTGCAAAAGGGGATCATATGACCCTGGGACACTGCAACCGTCATAAATATGAATCACTTGCCAAGCATCCAAATTTTGATCACATGACTATGGGGATGCTGCAACAGTGGCGTGAAAAATGGCTATAAATCACTTTTTAAAAGTGCTGTCGTAACTTTGAACAGTCACTAAATGAGCTGTTATAAGGGGAAGACTACCTGTATACTGTCTTCCAAAGGTTTGCCAGCTAGGTCTCTCAGAGCAGGTCCTTCTACAGCGTGGTAGTTACTCTTAAACGTGCCTATCTCAGGGCTACCAGCCCTTTTAAACCTGTAGAAGATGGATGAATATCCCTTTCTTGAATGAAATGCACTGGATAGGAGAATTTTAAGGAGGGAATCCTAAAATGTGAAGTAAGCAAACAATAAAATGCCTTTTAGACTAAAGTCATCACTGGAAAACTATGGGAAGCCAGTGCTGTACCCAAATTACAATATCCTCGCAGTAGTACTACTCACCAGCATACCTGCTGTAGTGATTTGCATTAATTGCAGTTTCTGAATTTTCTTCCAAGGGTAGGCTATGTAAATTACATTGTCTAATCTTGTGATGATAAGAACATTGTTTACTTCCCTCAGATAGGTGCAATTTGTGCATGGGCCTGAGCTGGGTGAAGATCTCCTTTCTAGGAATTGCTCTCCGTGGTTGACTAAAAACTCAAACAAATCTGTGGTGCTCACTTTAGCTGCATGTTTACATTGCTGAGTTATTCTTTGTAGCAATATTTCCCAAGGAATGGGTTGGATTCTCTCAGAGGTTCTTGTATGGGCACCCAGAAGTTAAACACACAGCTTTGTAAAACTCTATATTCAGAAACATTTTGTGTAACATCGCTCACTCGAATTGCCCCCAAAATCAGGACTCTGGTATCATCATCTGGCTTGACAAATTTTATTAAAAGTTGCAAACTTTTTATAGTGAGCTTTAATAAAGCTGATGCTTAGCCACTCTTTACAATCTGATGAAGCTGGCTGCAGCTCGTGAAAGATAAAAAGTTATGAATTGGAAAAGGTGCTACCAGATTCCTGATTTTTTGCCACCATGGCTGTCCTACAATATCTGATTGGCCAGGTATTTTGAAAGTATAGTTTGCTATGCTTGATATATGTACTATACGTATCTATCCTTTTGTGTTACACATATGCAACTTCTTTGCAAGTCTCTCTCTGCAAAATTTGGCCTTCGGGACTTAAGTTTGGAGAGCAGCTGTTTTGATTTAGTAGCCTCCGGTTGTAGCTTGACCCTATTTTTAAAAAAAAATTGTGGTAGAGGGCTGGAATGAGGCACGCTCTGTTCTTCCTATCCTTGGGAAATAGTCAGCACCACGAGGGGTCAGTTCAACCAGGAATTTGTTGCAGAGAAGGCTGTCGCCACCACAGCTGCCCACAAATGACATTCAACTACAGGTAATCATCCATTAACAGCCATTTATTCAGCGGCAGTGTCAACAGTATCGAAAAAGACTTGTGGCCAGTCTCCAAAGTTGTGGCCATTGCAGTATCCCCGGGTTGATTTTGGCACTTGACAATAACAAACCATGGTCGCAGTGTCCCACAGACCCGCAATCGCCTTTGGTGTCTTTTGATGCTGACTTCTAAGGAGCGAAGGCAGTGAGGAAGCTGGCAGGAGGTTGCAAATGACGATTACGTGACGTTGGGCTTTTTACAGCCACAGTCGCAACGGCCAGAACTGCCACTGCAAGTTGTCAGGGTCCTGTGGCATTGCGTTTTATGACTGCATCATTTGGCGATCAGATTCTCAGTCCCAATTGCCATCTTTAAACAAATGCTGCTATTTCTGTCACGCTTGCAGCTCTTGGCATTTTCTCATATTCCTGAGCTAAGGAAACTAGCTTGTGCCAATCTTGAAGAGACACCAATCTATCCAGGACTTCAGGTGCCTGAGCAAGGTGCCCTTTGCAAACAATACCCACGGCCTCCCTGTGCACAGTCTGATAAACCTCACCAATCTTTAATTGGTTCAAAGCAAGACAGCAAGTTGACTGATGGTCTGCTGCAAGCTCTGGGTTTTATGACTGCAGTTTGCTGCTACTGCTGCTTGTCTCTTCCTGCCTGATGAAAAAAAAAAAACATCTGCTGTAACTATTTTGTGAGGGTCATCAAACACTGAAGCTTCACGCTTGGGGTGCATTATGCTTGCTCTGCAGAGGTTTGATAGGGTGATAATCTTGGGTTAAGGAACAGAATTCCACAGATTCATGCTTTCTCCATCTAAAATTCTAGAAGAGAGGCAAAAGATATGCCATTGCTTAGCTGGCTCATTGGGGAGATTGCAGAAGACCTTATGGTCCATCCTTAATTGCCAGATCATCTTCCTTCCAGCACAATAATCTGCAATATGAACTTCCAAGTAGAGAGATCTATCACTGGGGTAACTTTGCACCATAGCAATGTTTCTCAACCTTGGCAATTTGAAGAAGTATTAAACATCTTGCTGGCTGGGGAATTCTGAGAGTTGAAGTCCACGTATCTTCAAGTTTGCCAAGGTCAAGAAACACCCTACAGGACAGCCACCTGGGTGAATTGATCTGGAATTTATTTATGAAATTTCTGCACCACCCATCTCAATCACTGGGTGATTTATAACATCATAAAGAAACATATGAATACACGAATAAAAACATGGGTTAAAAACAGCTTAAAACTTATCCAAGTAAAGATAAATTCCCAGAAATCCCAGCCAGCATGGCTAGAGGAAATCTGGGCATAGCTGTCCAGCACAGGTTGGAGAAGTCTGATCTATACAGGCTGCCCAAAACATGCTGCTTTTGACTGTGACCAGACTCCTTTGTGCCATACCAAAACTAACTGTGGGCCAATGCAGCCTTTTCCCTGTCGCGCAGCTTCCCTGTTGTTCCCCAGCAAGAAAATGGATGCTAGTATTTTTTTTAAAAAAAAAAATCAAACCTTATAACATGTTTTTCTAAATTAAGACCGACCAAGCAATCTGCTAGGATGCTCTTCAAGCATAATGGAAGTGTTTGTACTTTGGGCTTGGGACACTCTAGAGCTTGCTTCTGTTATCAGGAGACTAAAATAAAACTGGAAGTTTGAGCCTTGCTAGAAAATTGCAGGGACTTGTCTGGACGGTCTCTGAAAATTGGACATGATTGAATTGGAAGAAGGAAAATGCAGCTAAGCACAGAATTGCCTTGATGATGATGATGATGATCGAGAAAGCAATAGGAAATGAAAAAGTTAAAGTGCTCTATGACTTTACAATTCAAGCAGACAGGCACCTGTCACATAAACCTCCCCTCCCCAAACTTGACAATTGTCAATAAGAAAGACAAAAAAGCCTGGATAGTGGACAGGGCAGTACCTGGAGACAACGGAATAGAAGAGAAAGAATGGGAGAAGATAATCAGATATAAGGCCCTGCAAGTAGAAATAAGGACAACTATGGTTAGGGAAAAAAAGTAAATGTCCCAATAATAATAGGTGCCTTGAATGCAACCTCAAAACAACCGGGGCACCACTTTAACCAGAACAGGACAGCATGCTGCGGCCAACTCACCGTGGCCAACTTGGCACGGGACAACTCCATGCTGAACAATTTAACAGTTCTATTTCATGATTTAAAATGAATT